ACTTCGGGGAGCTAGCCAGGGAATTCTGCCAACAACCAAAACTTGCAAACCCCGCGGCGGTTTTCTGGCCACCGGGAATTTCTTGACCCACTCCTGACCCAGCTGCAGGCACTGCTACGTATGGTACTGAGCAAACCCTCCATCCACAGGAAACGCTGTGAAGAGAACTACGGGGGTTTATTTCGTGGGTTTCTTGTTACTGTTGCTGCTTGAAAAATACTTTAAAATTGCATAGTTCCTCACAAAACAAAGCATGTGCTTCCCTCGCTGGTCTGGTTTGGGGAAAGGTACCTGGATACGGTACGGTGGTGCCAGCACGGTCTCCTGGTCCCTTGGGGGTTTCCTCTTGTACTAAATCCTAGACTTCAGGGCCACCTCAGCTCTGCCCGATGGGATCCTCGCCTGCGACTACGGTCTCTAAGTGCTGAAGCGACTCAAGTGCACCAGGTGACTGCTCTGGACTGGCAGCTAGCAGGAAAGAGGAGAATTTGACTGTTTTCAAGCTAAATGCAACGTTTCCCGAACAACCAAACTTTGCTGCCTCCACTCCGCACACACTACAGGAGATTTAAGACAGGAACGTGGGCCAGCAGCTTTAGTACTTGAAAATTTTATTTTCTCAAATGAGCACCAACACATATTGTAAATATGACAAACGATACGCCTCCCTCTAATACTGAAGAACTATGTACAATGTACAAATACATGGAAAGGTGAAAACCAATTATCTGAAAACAAACAATTGCATTTATTACTGAAGCAAATGACCTGAAAGAATATGCCAAAAAAAAAAAATTAAATTAAAATCGGACCAAAGAAATAAAAGTATACACAGTTTGTAAACACAAGAGCATCAACAGACAGGCTGGTATTGGAAATATTGTCCTTTAGTTCTGTCAGTGGGGAAAGCATTCCCATTTCCTTATGACAGACAAAACAAAGGATACATACAGTTGGTAACTATGAGAATAGCTTATTCGTGGTTGTACCTTACACAATGCCATTCTGCTTGCATTTAAGTATGTTGGGTTTTTTTTTCTGAGTTCAAGATGATTTTGTTTCCCCTCTTCTGCTTAATCTTTTTAAACAGGATCCTGCAAAATCTATGCCTAACGTAATTGTTTCTGAGCATTTAACTTCTGAGGCCTCTCACCTGGTGAGAAGAGCTCCTTCCCACTGAGCTGAGCTCTGGGTTTTGCCAAGCTGTTTCCCCAATCGGGTGTTTGGGTCTCATCTCTTCATCCAAGAACCGGTTCACATGGAAACATGATGCTCCTCCCGAAACAAGGAAGTGCAGTGAAATGCATGATTAACACTCTCACATACCACGTAGAATAATGCATACAGAGAAAATTCTCATTTGATCATCACAAGAACAACATATTTCATTCGTAGGGTTTTTTTTCTGTATATATTTTAATTGTGTACACCAAAACCAGAGAATTAAAGAGCGTGCAACAGTTATTCAGCACTGAAAACAGCTCCTCGCTCAGCAAAACACAGTCCAGAGGTTTGTGCTGTTGGTCCACTTCAGGATAAACAGGAGACCCAATGAATTAAAACTGAAGAAGGGAGAGAAGGGGGGGAGGTTAAAGACAGAAAGGAAAACAAACAAAAACAGAACTTTACTGCCAGAGAGGTAAACTTTTACTCTAATTTGTTATGTAGCAGCCTGGTTTAAAAAAAATAAACAATAGAACAAACCCTCAAAGAAAACCAGGATCCATGTCCAAAGACTTATGTTTCAGCTTAAAAACAATGACTAGTTAGAAATCTCCACCCTCCATCCCTGCTGCCCCCAGGCAACTGGAAACAGCGATGCAGAGGTTGCAGCGATGTTCAATCCTGTTTTCTAAGCCTCGAGATCTACTTCACTCCAGCCAATACTGGTGCAAGAGAAAATTTCAGGCCCAGATCCTACAAACCAGATCTCCTCAGGAATACCATGCCCAGACGGAGCCCCACCAGCTTTCATGGGACCTGCCGTGGGAGCAGGAGCTCACATGGGGCTCAGGCTGCCAGATGGGACCTCCTGTCCCACACATCAGCACCTGCCTGGACCACGGGCTGCTCTCCATAAGGCGGCCACCGCCTGCGCTGGAGACGAATTCTGCCGGATGGAAGTAGGAGTGACTCCCCTCTCCAGCCACGTCCCAAGGAAGAATGGATCGACTTCAGAGAACAACGTTTATTATGAGTTTTGTTTCCCTTTAAACATATTTTCGAACAAATACAGAAGGAAACGATCATTGATAAACAACAAAAAAGTGCTCTCAGGGAGGGGCTCTGAGAAAACAGCACCAAATATATTATTTTTTAAAAAAATTAAATATTATTTACAAAAGTATATTTCACAAGATAATTTTCTTTTTTCTACTTTGTATATATTATCATCTGAATATTTATTACAGGGTTCAGGATTTCACACCAGATAATCCACCAGACCAAAACGATTTACAACTTCCTCAAGTCTGAGCTTTGGGGTAGAGGGGAGTGATGTAAACTCAGGGGCGCAGGCAGCTTGCCAGAGACGAGGCTGCCACATTAAAACAAAGTAAAACTCGCTGCTGCTCCTGTTTTCTCGAGGATGTCACCCACGGAAAGCAGCACCACGGGCACTCGGTGCTCTGCGTTCGGGCACTGCCCGCCCGAGGAAGCAGCTGCCCTGGGCCACACCTCCAGCTCAGAAACAACGGTCCCACCTTGCTCGCCCCAGTCACTAACGCACTGGCTACGGTCAACCCACACGACCAGAGGGATGCAGAGAGTGAGGTTCTTTGGTTATGCTCTGAATATTCCACTCTAGGAGTCACTGACAGCCTGCGCTGATCGCGGTAGCACAGAGATCTGGCCGTCCTGTCTGGTCACCAGCTGCCCACACTGTCATGTGTCTCAATACAGCAAGTCACAGATGAGCTAGCAGCGGACTAAGCAGTACTTCATATTCAATGGACACACAGCAGAGAACAAACATCAATGAGCCTCACAAGCCCATTTTTCCTTATCTCCCTGGACAGTGTATTAAAGTCCCTCTGTAGATAATTCTCTGGGTGTGGGGGATGTTCACAGGCACAAATACATTTTTCCTATCAGGGCTCGATGCCAGATTCTCAGCAAGTGTGAATTAAGATCCTGCCATATTCAAGCTTACACTGGCTGTCATAAAAGCATAGCCCCTGTGAATGGTTAAAACCAGCCTGATCTGATGGATCACTGTCCTTTCTTCTCCCAGATACATGGATAACAACATTTACATCTGGTAGCTCTCTGTAGTGACTGTTCTAATTTCTCAGAGCAGTCCTCTAGACAGGCCTACCTTTTGTATCGCCTTCTTGCAGGCACTCAATCTAAGTACCAACATAAAACCGTAAGCCCCCGTGTGTTCTTTGTCTCAACCTCCTGTGAATGATTTGGGGTTATCCCTTACTTCTCCCAACTCCAACCAGACCCCTTTAAAAGCTACATATCTGGGCTGAGAAGCTCTTCAAAAATGCAAATTACTTCCCACGAGTCAAACCCCAGTAAACTGTCATGGATCACCAACTAAAAGACAGGAAAATGGGACCAGGTCAGTGCCAAAGTCAACAAAATAGCAGGTACTGCAGAGGTTTGGATTTCTCCTAGGTATTTACCACTGAAGGGAATGCGGACGATGGAAGCAGAGAGGATCAGAAATGAAAGCTGAAGCAACTTCTACGCAGCCACAGCAACAAAAGTGAAGGGGGAAGCGCCCTCCTGACAGGCCAAACCAAGCCAACTCCGTCCACTGCAGGAGCCGTGCCTGGACTCCATCCCACTTCTCTTTCCAAGGTTCTACAGAACAGTGGTTCAAGAGAACAAACAGCCTTTGCTTAGATGGGCCATCAGGTTTGAGTTTCGGCACAAAGACCCAACAGTAAGGTCCATCCTGCTCCGTTAAGTAGCGTCTCTGCTCACATCCCCTCCACTCAGCAGCTCGTTACGTCTCCCCACCAGCACTCCGTCCCGATCCCCACAGCTAACGGAGTATCCTGGGGGTGGGGGCAAACGACAACAGATTACAGCTCCAACGCTTCCGTTTCATAAGGAGTTACAAACCCTTGCACAATACTCTTTCCTTCTGGATTAAGAAAGATTTCCCCCAATGGATTAACCTACTTGAAAGAATTCCACAAACAAAAAGAAAATTCACTCCAAGAGAGAGAAAACCAATTCGGTTAAGTAGTCTTGAGTTATGCACCAGATACTGGCTGGACTGTTGCAGAGCAAACTTCACACTGTCATTTACGTCTAACACAGCTCCCCTCTCACACGCGACGCCCCTTCTGCACCAACCCCCTCGGGAAGGTCCACACTAATTAAAATGAAAAAATTAAAACGGGAAGGACTTGTCCCTTGCAGTTACGACGCCCACCTCTACCCCTCCCCTTCAAACTCAAGGGCACAGACAGCTTCAGGGGTAGGGGGAAGATGTTTAACTTCTTTTTTCTTTCCCATTCCCCCTGTGCCTGCAACAGGCTTCTGGGAGAGAGAAAAGGGGAGAAGGTTTTTGGGAGGATACCTCAGGGCTTGAAATATCCACCTGTGCAATACTGCTCCAACTGCCAGCCTCCTCTGCTCCCTCCTCTCCGCACTCCCACCATTCCTCTGCCAGGCTCCAAGAGTGGAGCCGACGTCTGGGATTTAAGAAAAACATTCTGTAACAGCATTTTCCTACTCGCTCCTGGGAAGGATTGGCAAAAGGCCCCCAAGGGTGCTCAGTGGAGGCTGGGAAATCAGGGGGTACCCTGCATTACTAAGTTTCTCCCCATCCTCCTCATCCTCCTCCCCATTTCCTCTCTTGTGCCTCGCACGTGCCTTCCCCCCCCTTCCCCATCCTATCTCCTAAGCTGCAGCTCCAGCCCCGTCACGCCTTAAGGGCTCTTCTCCTCTCTGAAGGGCTCAACAGTCAGGATTTGGTTTCTCCAGCTGCAAGGATGCTTGTCGGGGTGTTTGGCCTACCTACCCCGAAACAGTGAGGAAAAGGAGAGGCAGGGAATCTCTCCAGCCTTCAGGTCCTCCAAGCAACAACTCTGTCAGCGGCAAACGAAACACAGATTTGCGATTAGCTGGCGGGGTTGTGACTTTTGCTCAGCCGGCTTAGACTGAAGCTCCACCGATGGAGCAGCAGTTTTATGATTCAGAGGGAACGCAGCCGTGAGGTATTTTTCTGTCCATTTAGACAAGTAGATAGTTTCAAGCCTTGGTTAACCAGGACTGAAAGGAGAAGTACAGTTTCAACTTCTGATGACTTCCCTTCGGGCCCACTCCCCACCCCCTATATCACCTTCGCCTGCCCAAAACTCGGGTCTTCCTCCCGCACCGAGACCTTCTGATGAAATGACACCACAGAGCCAACTTCAGTTTGTAATTAAACATTCGTCAACACGGAATGGCTGTTGGGCATTCGGTGCATTCTCTTAGCCAACGCCAGAACAGAGAGAGAAGCAGCCAGGGTCAACTCACAAACAGATACAAAGCAAAGAGACAGAGAGACAGAAATTTAGAGGCCAGTCACCAATAAAGATGGAGAAGGGTGTGAAGATGCTCCCAAGTTGCAGAGCCTCTAAATGCATGGAACCAAGCGTTCAGTCACTCTCTCACTCTTGGATATAATGTTCGGTTGGATGGCATTCTCTTACACGCTGGTAGGACTGGGCTCTTTCCATTCAATCCCAGCCATTATCCTTGATCATGTGAGCTAGTTCAATGATGTATTTGCCTTCTTTATACTTCTGGCTGCTTTCAAAAGCGTGTTCCTAAAAAAAGGAGAAAGAACGAGATCAAGACGATATTTGAAGGTAAAGTCACAGTTACAGAGGAGATCCAGGAATTCGGATCAGTAGCCTTGTCTTCCGAGTAAAACAGTCAAACTGCAGGTTCTCCTGCTGGCTTTCAGGAAACTTACATTGGGAGAATCTTAAACCCTGTTTCTAGCTATCCTTATAGGCTGGAAAAAGAGTACTTGGCACCACATAAACATGCAGCCTTCTGTAGGCCCACAGCAATTGCTCCTCAAACTATGCTTCACGTAGTAAAATTAGCTTTTCTCTAGGGTGGTCTGAGAGTTTATTAACATTTGTTAAGAACTCAGAGGTCCTCCGATGAAACATGCTGTGAAAGCACTACCATCAGGAACGAGGCAGATTATGGTAAACGTCATGTGGAAATGGAGCGAAGGGCACTGAGGGATGAGAAGGGCCCACAGTACAGAGGTTTAGATTAGATATCAGGAAGAAATTCTTCCCACAGAGGGTGAGGAGGCACTGGGACAGGCTGCCCAGAGAAGCTGTGGATGCCCCATCCCTGGAAGTGTCCAAGGCCAGGCTGGATGAGGCTTGGAGCAACCTGGGCTAGTGGAAGGTGTCCCTGCCCATGGCAGGGGGGGTGGAACTAGATGGTCTTTAAGGTCCCTTCCAACCCAAACCGTTCTGTGATTCTATGAAAGGCACAGTGCTTCAGCACTGCAGAACTGAGGAAGTGAGGACATCCATGGGATCCCTAACCAGGAGCGACTCTCACCA